CTTCCTGTCCGGTTTTTCATGAAAATAAAGTTCGTCAAAATTTATCAACATGGGATCTAGTTTTGAAGAACGGTGCAAATGGTTCGAGATTTGGACGTACGGTTTAAGAGATAAAACGTTTTGAATAAACGAATCTATAAAATAAGGGAATACTCTCAGATTGTGACAAGTAACGCACATGCAACGTGCTAATATTTGCGATCTGGAAAGGTGACAGTGATCTTTAAAAGGAGTATTCCCGAATTAGTAATTTCGAGGGAGAAATCTTCCCTCGGGTGCGCTCGATAGGCCGGCCCATTTAGTATCGAAGAAAGGGAGGGTGTGTCTGCGGTGTTTAAAAAAACAGGCTTAACGGATGCTCAAGGCGCCAAATAGGCTCACGATCGTGTGTGCGTCTTTTTTTCTTTTCCTTTGGCGGAATTATTAATACAAGTTAAGCAGCCCAACTTGTTGAGTACCAAAAGGTGATGATGGTAGAAAAGTTTAGGTCTAAAATTAGTACTCCCTCTATTCACTTTTATAAGACCTTAAAAATATTTCAGACAATATACAAAACAACCCATTTTAAATTGTCTGAAATGACTTACAAAAGTAAACAGATGGAGTAGTAGTCGTGGTGCCAACTGTTAAAGAAGACGATTCACTGGAAAAAGACGAACCGTCAGTATCTATGTTATCATTGATGAAGACAATCTTTTCTCGACCCATTGACTGGGCAGCTGAGGTTGCTGCCAGCCCATTCGAGTTCGAGACCCGTCACGAACGCGCGGTGCTCACGGAGTTTCTCCTATAAAAAAAACCAACGAGGGTCAGCCTTTGGGTTGGTTTCATTTTTTTCCCGCAAAAAAAGAAGAAGACAACCTTTATTTTTTCTGGTCGATGCATGTTCGAAGCCGGTTCATCACGGCATCGGCAGATTCGAGCCCATATGGCCGGTCTGAAATTGGTCCAGCAAGGCTCTTTTGAACTGCCTTTGCATCATCAAGATATGATGAGGCCACCCAACCGTATGCGCAGCTCCCCTTGATTATTCGTTTCTCCCATTCGCTATTCTCCAGCTGGGCATGTAGGGGGTGTCTTTCTTTCCATTTGTCATGTGCCTTTTTACTGTAGTCTCGGATTGCACGGCGGCTTTAGCTAAAGGCCACGGCCATCCTAGCAGCCACCTGATTGTGGGGCATGCATGTGCGTCTGTTTAATACTCCCTCCGTTCCTAAATATTTGTCCTTTTAGACATTTCAAATGACTAACACATACGGATGTATGTAGACATATTTTAGAGTGTAGATTCATTCATTTTACTTTGTATGTAGTCACTTGTTAAAATGCCTAGAAAGACAAGTATTTAGGAACGGAGGGAGTATTTCTCTACTTTGATCCCTCTGTTACATCTGCATCGGCTGTACTTGTGGGGCAGTGTGCAGTGCAAAATGACTTGTCTATCTGATGGTTTTTGGCTCTCTCTTGCTGTGTTTTTATCATATCCTCGACGAAATCTCTACATGGCATGCAGGGGCTTCCGTACCAGTTGCAGTGAGAAACTTCACACCAACTTCTGGCGTTGCGTCACTTTGACCTGCCGATGAAGATTCACTAATCTCGTCAAGTTGTACCGTCCTCCCTCTCACCCTTTCACAATCAAGAAACATACCATTTATGCAATAAACATATTGTCTTCAGTGCGGTGATAGAAGTAATACCTAGCAGTTTTGGAATAACCCATAAAGTAGCATTTATCTGATTTGGTATCAAGCTTATTCATAAACATTTACACATGCATCGCATCCTGATACATCTTCAATATAGAGTATGTGTTTTTAATACCTATTATCATATATGTTTGCAATGTTTCATCCTGATAGAAGTAGTACCTATTTTTGTATTTTTGTATGTCCCAAATGCCCGCCTTTCAATAGGAGGTACTTACTTGGGAATGGCCTGTTGTTACGCCCTCGAGCAAGGTGGCTCCATCGACCAAGGCCACGCAGGCTCCTGTTGGGCTGGAACGAGCGCGCCGACAGCCCAAGCCCAACAGTCGCTACCCGGCCCATGTGTGGGATACCACGGGCGGAGTTAAAAGCAAGCCAAGCCCTCCTGCGTGAGGTGGCGATTGAGTACCGTACCAGGCGGCGGTTACCTACCCCGATCCCCTTTCCCTTCCCTTGCTTCTCTCTCAAGAACCCTAGCTAGCGAGTGAATCGATGTACCAGAACCATATCTGTGAGTGATTTGCTAGCGGGAGCGTAACAATTGGTATCAGAGCCATTCCGATCCGTCCAAATTTTTTTCCCATTCCCCAATCTGGCCAGGCATTTCCCCTCTATCATCCAGACTCGTCGAGGGAAGGCGACCGCCATGGAGGACCACACCAAGGCGTTGGCGGACCTCACCACGGCTATCACCGTGCTCACGACCAAGATCGACGCCCTCCAGCCGGTGGTGCTTGAGCTACAAAGCTGGAAGCCCGACGTCGAGCGATCCATGGAGGAGCTGCGACAGGAGGTCGGCAGCCTCCGGACTCAGATCGGCTCCCAGGCGCCCAAGGGAGACAAGGCCACGGAGGAGGCGCCGCCCCAGATCCGCCTCTCGGATCTGCCGCCCCTGCTTCCTCTCCTGGTGGACGCGCCGCTGCCACAACGCGGAGCCGTTCCAGATCACGGGCCACAGAGCCACGGCGTCGCAACAGATCTTCGGGGGAAATCATCGGGGGAAACTCAGACCCCGCGATTGCCTCTGGCCACTGGTACGTACGACTCCTACCATCACGGGGAGCACTCATTCTCAGGGGACCGGGGATATCATCGCCTACCACCACCACCGCGTTTCGATTTCCCTCTGTTCGATGGGACTGGCCCGAGGGCTTGGCGTCTCAAATGCGAGGCCTACTTTCGGGTGTGCACGATTAGTCCAGATGCATGGGTCAGTTGTGCAGCCATGTATTTCACAGAAGGGGCACTTACTTGGCTCCAATCATCGCAAGCACACCTGCACTACCCGGATTGGGGCGATTTCGCCACGGCAATTTGCACCCAATTTGGTCGGGAAGAATTTCAAAATCTTCTTCGACAGTTCAATAGGCTTAAGCAAATCGGAACGGTGGCTGAATATGTTGAGCAATTCACGCAAATTATGCACCAACTTTTAGCTCACCACACTATTCCGCTGGTCCACGGAGCGCAGCCAGTCAACCTTAGGCCGTACAGGCACAGCCCAACTCAGAAGGATGAAGTGGAACGTCAGGTCGCTGAGATGCTCGCTCAAGGGATTATCCAACCCAGATCCAGCCCTTTCGCGTCGCCAGTTCTGCTAGTGCAAAAGAAGGATCTCACCTGGCGTTTTTGTGTGGACTATCGGCATCTCAATGCAGTTACGATCAAGAATCGCTACCCGTTGCCAGTGATAGAAGAGCTTCTCGATGAGCTGGCTGGATCGCAACTCTTTACCAGTTTGGATCTG